ACCAATGACGTCACTGCACTAGATGGCCCCTATTGCAGCAAGTGCTGGGAGAACGTTGGGACTGATTAGACCTGTAAGGATGGCGCCGTTAAATACGTCAGCTGTAATTTGACGGGAGAACGTTTTTATAGCTCGCCTCGGAATACTGGATGAAATGTCCCGTCCCCCACCCCTCCCCACCCCCGGCTGTTAAAAACATGTAATCAAAGTAGGAGGGGGTTGTATAGGTCAGTCAGTCCTTCCTTATCTTGGTGGCGCATCTCAATGATGGCGTTGTCTGGCTAATGTTGGACTGGCTAATGTTGGACTGGCTAATGTTGGACTGGCTAATGTTGGACTGGCTAATGTTGGACTGGCTAATGTTGGACTGGCTAATGTTGGACTGGCTAATGTTGGACTAGCTAATGTTGGACTGGCTAATGTTGGACTGGCTAATGTTGGACTGGCTAATGTTGGACTGGCTAATGTTGGACTGGCTAATGTTGGACTGGCTAATGATGGACTGGCTAATGTTGGACTGTGTGGCTAATGTTGGACTGGCTAATGTTGGACCAGCTAATGTTGGACTGGCTAATGTTGGACTGGCTAATGTTGGACTGTGTGGCTAATGTTGGACTGGCTAATGTTGGACTGTGTGGCTAATGTTGGACTGGCTAATGTTGGACTGGCTAATGTTGTATTGTGTGTCTCGTTGATCAGTAACTGAGAGTTTAAACTCTGCACTCACTCCTAGTATAAATAGCAAACCTAAATACTAAACCTAAATGGTAAACATAAACGTTACATTTCCTTGTTGATTTTTTAAAATTTCCACTCCCTCCCCCTCCATATTCACCTCCATATCCCAGTAATGGCAACCCCCCTCCCCCATATCTCCCACCCCCACTTACGTCATCACAGCCCCCGCCCCCCCCCTCCCCCATGACCGGGGGCTGAATGTTGATTGAAGAAATGAGACCCAGGACCTAGCTGAGATTGCCGGTTATTCAATTCATCGCCACACTAGTCCAGGACATGTTGGGTGATGCAAATTTAAGCGGATCGCTTGACCTTGACGCAATGTAAAGGTCATGACCTTCAGCAATGATGGGACGTACTCTTGATATAAGATTCAGAGCACTAAAACATGCCAGGCTGCTGAGATCGTTTGTGCATTCTTGTGTGGGACCTTTTGTGGGTAACTTGTGCGGGACCTAATGTGGGTAACTTGTGTGGGGACCTTTTTGAGGTAGCTTTTGTTGGGACCTTTTTGAGGTAGCTTTTGTTGGGACCTTTTTGAGGTAGCTTTTGTTGGGACCTTTTGTGGGTAACTTGTGTGGGACCTTTTGATGGTAACTTGTGTGGGGACCTTTTTGAGGTAGCTTTTGTTGGGACCTTTTGTGGGTAACTTGTGTGGGACCTTTTGATGGTAACTTGTGTGGGGACCTTTTTGAGGTAGCTTTTGTTGGGACCTTTTGTGGGTAACTTGTGTCGGACCTTTTGTGGGTAACTTGTGTGGGACCTTTTGTGGGTAACTTGTGTGGGACCTTTTGATGGTAACTTGTGTGGGGACCTTTTTGAGGTAGCTTTTGTTGGGACCTTTTTGAGGTAGCTTTTGTTGAGACCTTTTGTGGGTAACTTGTGTCGGACCTTTTGTGGGTAACTTGTGTGGGACCTTTTGTGGGTAACGTGTGTGGACCTTTTGTGGGTAACTTGTGTGGGACCTTTTGTGGGTAACTTGTGTGGGACCTTTTGTGGGTAACTTGTGTGGGGACCTTTTTGAGATAGCTTTTGTTGGGACCTTTTTGAGGTAGCTTTTGTTGGGACCTTTTGTGGGTAACTTGTGTGTTGACATTTTGTGGGTAACTTGTGTGTGGACCTTTTGTGGGTAACTTGTGTGGGACCCTTTGTGGGTAACTGGTGTGGGGACCTTTTGTGGGTAACTGGTGTAGAACCTTGTATGGGGTACACGATGCAGACAGAAATGCGCGAACCGGTGTATATTTTTAAAAAAATGAAATTTGAAATGTAAAACGACGCGACATGCCCAACTTTAATCTCGCCATCAGCAGTGGGGAGACAAAAACAGTTTGTGAGATACAGCCGACATGATCAGATTACCACCAAAAGCAGTTTGTGAGATACAGCCCGACATGATCAGATTACCACCAAAAGCCCACCCCGGCTTTGAAAAATATCCAGATATTTTTACCTCATATTTTTCCTCTGTCCAAAATCTGGACAGGACAGGCGTTTTTAATGGCTTCGATCTTTGACCCTCTCACATTTGGCTGGGAATTTTGGTGTAAGATGGGGAGTGATTTGTTGAGAATACACGTTTTTTTTTCTACAAAGTCCTATGTATATCTGCAACATTTGACTGTGTTTCTGTGTTCAAGATTGTCAACAGCTACATATTGTATCTTTGTGGAGTGAATGAGTGAAGGGGGATGTTGGGTGAATGTTGTTTATACTTGGTACCCTGTCCCGTTCGTCCCTGTTCAATTCTCGTGTTGTGAGTTGTGTCAGTTCCGTGTGTACCTCTGTGTGTGTGTATATAAGGTGTGTGAGAAGGAGTGTGATTGTATCTGTTCAGTCCAGTTCTCTCACAAGGTAGTGTGGATTAGATATGTGAACTTTTATACAGCCACTGTATCAGTCTGTGTACTAGCGTATGTATTTATATTTAGAATAGCCGGTGTTTGTGTAGATAGTGTATGGAGTATAAAACTATTTTATTCTTAACGAGCTGTTGTTTCATTCAGTCTGGTGTTGTGTAAACCGTGTGTGTTTGTTTGGTCTCACATGTTGCGTGACGTCCTGGATCACCCGTGTGTCCGTGTGTTGACAACATTCTGGTTTTAAAAGATGACAAACCTGTTCCATATCTTGGCATATCTCAGGTTGTCAAAATTGTGCTGTGGGTGTCAGTATCTCACCCATCAAAGCTGATTATCATCAGAAATTGAGGGAGGGGGTGGCGGTGGGCTCTGTAATATTTAACAGAGTACTCTGACGTTAAATGTCATGGCGGGGGGGGGGGGGGGGCTCTGTAAGATGTAACAGATTACTCTGAAGTTACATGTCGTGGGGGGGGGGGGGGGGGGCTCTGTAAGATGTAACAGATTACTCTGAAGTTACATGTCGTGGGGGGGGGGGGGCTCTGTAAGATGTAACAGATTACTCTGAAGTTACATGTCGTGGGGGGGGGGGGGCTCTGTAAGATGTAACAGATCACTCTGAAGTTACATGTCGTGGGGGGGGGGGGGGGGGGCTCTGTAAGATGTAACATATTACTCTGAGTTTAAAGATCATGCATTAGAGAGCTGCAGTTCAAGATGTTTTGGACGGGACCTGATTTATCGCACACAGAAGATCAGATAGCAGAAAAAAACTTGATGAAACGTCTTCAAAACTTCCAAAAAATTCTTCTAGAAATTTTCTTATAAGAAATGCTTAGTTTTTTTCTTTCATAATTAACTAATTAACTTTTGTAATGAGTTTAAATTTTTACTCGGGAGTGTAGGAGCAGTACATTTTGACACATTGTGATTCTCTGTTTACCAAAGAATGTGTTTCTGTTTACCAAAAATGTGTTTCTCTGTTTACCAAAGAATGTGTTTCTCTGTTTACCAAAGAATGTGTTTCTCTGTTTACCAAAGAATGTGTTTCTCTGTTTACCAAAAATGTGTTTCTCTGTTTACCAAATAATGTGTTTCTCTGTTTAACCAAAGAATGTGTTTCTCTGTTTATCAAAGAATGTGCTTGTTTACCAAAGATTGTGGTTCTCTATATACCAAAAATGTGTTTCTCTGTTTACCAAAAATGTGTTTCTCTGTTTACCAAATAATGTGTTTCTCTGTTTACCAAATAATGTGTTTCTCTGTTTAACCAAAGATTGTGTTTCTCTGTTTACCAAAAATGTGTTTCTCTGTTTACCAAAAATGTGTTTCTCTGTTTACCAAAGAATGTGTTTCTCTGTTTACCAAAAAATGTGTTTGTCTGTTTACCAAAAATGTGTTCCTCTTTTTACCAAAGAATGTGTTTCTCTGTTTACCACTTAAAGAATGTGTTTCTCTGTTTACCAAAGAATGTGTTTCTCTGTTTACCAAAGAATGTGTTTCTCTGTTTACCAAAGAATGTATTTCTCTGTTTACCAAAGAATGTGTTTCTCTGTTTACCAAAGAATGTGTTTCTCTGTTTACCAAATAATGTGTTTCTCTGTTTACCAAAGAATATTTCTCTGTTTACCAAAGAATGTGTTTGTCTGTTTACCAAAGATTGTGTTTCTCTGTTTACCACCTATGGTTCTACTACTTTAATGACTTTCAAATATTGGCCCACATTATCGCGACTCTTAATGGCTACGCTCTTTGCCGGAAATGTCCGGCAGCCAACCGGCAGACCCCTATGGGTAGTCTGGCGGTAAGTGGGGCTGGAACTGAAATCTATTTTATCAGATCTCTTTGCGAGCAGAAAGGCGGCAAATAGCGTTTGATCAACTCAGGAAAATCTGGCACGATATTTCACCCTGACCGGATATAATATCGTGGGAACAAAATGGCTTCCATCTAGTTTTATAGCCGCTACATAATCAGACGCTAATCAGTCACGTGATACTGGTTTCTAATTATAGAATCTGACAGCGTCAGTGGGGCCACTATATGAAGTGGTGTCTGTCACATAGATGATTGTTTCTCTGTCATATGCCATGTGGTCTGACATAGTAACAAGTTGACTGACACAGTGACATATGGTCTGAAACAATGACATGTGGCCTGACGTAATGACATGTGGACTGACATGTGGTCTGAAAAAATGACATGTGGACTGACATAATGACAAGTGGTCTGACGTAATGAAATGTTAACTGACACAATGACATATGGTCTGAAACAATGACACGTGGACTGACACCATGACATGTTTACTGACATGATGACATGTGGACTGACACCATGACATGTTTACTGACATGATGACACGTGGACTGACACCATTTTTCTGTCCAACAGCTGTGTCAGGATGACGTGTTGTCCGACAAAAAGCGCTACCCCACCTTCGCCCGGACCTTCCCCCCGGCCGTCCAGATGACCGGCTCAGTTGTCTCCCTGCTCAAGTTCTACAACTGGACCAAGTTCTCCATCGTCTATCAGAAGGAGGAAACGTGCGTCTCTTTACGACTAGTTTTATGTTTTTATACGTTTTTTATACGTTTTTATACGTTTTTACACGGTTTTATATGTTTAACATGTTTTATACGGTTTTATACGTTTTTTATACGTTTTTTATAAGTTTTTACACGTTTTTATACGTTTTTATACGTTTTTATACGTTTTCATACGTTTTTATACGTCTTTAAATGTTTAACATGTTTTATACGTTTATACACGTTTTTTTGTTTAACATGTTTTTATACGTTAATACGTTTTTTATATACACATTTGTGCTAACTTTCAAAACCGTATTTTTTAACTTTTAGCTATTCATTACAGTAAATTTAAAAAAAAAAAATTAATCTACATCGAATAACAAAAGGGGAGGTAAAGTGATTACTATTAGCGACCATTCGTCCAGCCAGGAAACTGGTCACTTGTGGTCGCTAATGTTGTCACACCAAGAACTGACACGGAACGTATAAGGGGCAGATAATTCTAATTTCATTGTCTGGTTGTAAAGCTAATATTTTGGCGTGTCGGGTGTTGACTTTATGAAGAACATACGAAGTGTAAAGAATGAATATGGGTTCGACCATTATTGTTGGCATGGATAGAAAACGTGGGGTTTGTTGGCATCAAAGCGGCCAAAAATTAAGCCTGAAAATAATTCAGAAATTAGATTTTAAAAAATCAATGTTATAAAAGTTGCAAATTTAGAGAACTTGAAAATATTTTTAAGGCTACATTTGTATTTCTTTTCATCAAATCTAAATTTTAACCCGAAGTCCCACCGTCGTAAGACAATCGCTGATTGGCTGTTCAGGATCTCGGTGGTCGATATTCTGAAAACACAACTTCTTGTAAAAACACTTCTACAAAACGAAATGAGTACTTAAACCTTTACTGATAAAAATGTTAAATCAAATTATTTTTTTAAACCACGTGACCTAGTTCAGCCATGATTGTTATTTTGTGTAATAAAATGTAAACAACCAATTTTTTTAAAAATGGTGTTTAGTTAAGGAAAATACTAAAACAACAATTACATTAAATCTTATTAATCATGTCTGTCGAAAATCATACGGGTTTTTATAACCATTTTTATTTTATTTTTTTATTATTTATAACCGTACTAGAATTTTGAAATATTTATATACCATTTCGAGACTATTCACAGTAAGAATTGACCCACACTTTTTTTTACAAGCTTTTATTTAGTTCGCAACGTCTGTTTTTTTGTTTGTGGGTTTGTGGAAATCTTGTTACTCAATTTTGACCCAATTCTAATGAAGCGATTTTGTTCAAATTTTCTAGAAATGTTCCACTTCGATGACAATCCAAGTCTATCTAATTTTTAATTTAATTAAATGTTTAATTAGTCATTAATTAATTAAACGGTTTCGAAACTAAGGGGACATAACAAAATTAAATTACTCGATAGATTACTATATTCAATAACAGAAGGGGAGATAACTAGCTAGACGCCATCACCCGACCAGTCTAGTGAGCTGTGGTTCAAGCCTAATGTTTACAATTGCACAGCCGGGTCGAATTAGTTTAGACTATTTGAAAATAAGAAAATTAAGAACTTGCAATTATCTGTAAAATATTGTCACGGACAATATTAAAAAACCTGATTCAATCAACCAAATGTTTACTGTTTCAGGCAACATTGACCAATTGATCAACCAAATGTTTACTGTTGCAGGCAACATTGACCAATTGACCAACCAAATGTTTACTGTTGCAGGCAACATTGACCAACCAAATGTTTACTGTTGCAGGCAACATTGACCAATTAACCAACCAAATGTTTACTGTTGCAGGCAACATTGACCAACCAAATGTTTACTGTTGCAGGCAACATTGACCAATTGACCAACCAAATGTTTACTGTTGCAGGCAACATTGACCAATTGACCAACCAAATGTTTACTGTTGCAGGCAACATTGACCAATTGACCAACCAAATGTTTACTGTTGCAGGCAACATTGACCAATTGACCAACCAAATGTTTACTGTTGCAGGCAACATTAACCAACCAAATGTTTACTGTTGCAGGCAACATTGACCAATTGATCAACCAAATGTTTACTGTTGCAGGCAACATTGACCAATTGATCAACCAAATGTTTACTGTTGCAGGCAACATTGACCAATTGACCAACCAAATGTTTACTGTTGCAGGCAACATTGACCAATTGACCAACCAAATGTTTACTGTTGCAGGCAACATTGACCAATTGACCAACCAAATGTTTACTGTTGCAGGCAACATTGACCAATTGACCAACCAAATGTTTACTGTTGCAGGCAACATTGACCAACCAAATGTTTACTGTTGCAGGCAACATTGACCAATTGACCAACCAAATGTTTACTGTTGCAGGCAACATTGACCAATTGACCAACCAAATGTTTACTGTTGCAGGCAACATTGACCAATTGACCAACCAAATGTTTACTGTTGCAGGCAACATTGACCAATTGACCAACCAAATGTTTACAGTTTCAGGCAACATTGACCAATTGACCAACCAAATGTTTACTGTTGCAGGCAACATTAACCAACCAAATGTTTACAGTTTCAGGCAACATTGACCAATTGACCAACCAAATGTTTACTGTTGCAGGCAACATTAACCAACCAAATGTTTACTGTTGCAGGCAACATTAACCAACCAAATGTTTACTGTTGCAGGCAACATTGACCAGTTGACCAACCAAATGTTTACTGTTGCAGGCAACATTGACCAATTAACCAACCAAATGTTTACTGTTGCAGGCAACATTGACCAATTGACCAACCAAATGTTTACTGTTGCATGCAACATTGACCAATTGACCAACCAAATGTTTACTGTTGTAGGCAACATTGACCAACCAAATGTTTACTGTTGCAGGCAACATTGACCAATTGATCAACCAAATGTTTACTGTTGCAGGCAACATTAACCAACCAAATGTTTACTGTTGCAGGCAACATTAACCAACCAAATGTTTACTGTTGCAGGCAACATTGACCAATTGATCAACCAAATGTTTACTGTTGCAGGCAACATTGACCAATTGACCAACCAAATGTTTACTGTTGCAGGCAACATGGGCCGAGTGAGAACATCGCACGACGGTTGGGGGAGCTGGCCTCACAACACAACATGAGCATAAACCACGTGATACCCTACAACTCCAGGTACTTCCCCCAGTTCAACGTCAGCATCTTCAAGGAGATCATTGAGTCGTCGTATGTGGATACCAGGGGTAAATGTTATGTGGTGGTCACTATATGTGTGGTCACTATATGTGTGGTCACTATATGTGTGGTCACTATATGTGGTGTCACTATATGTGTGGTCACTATATGTGTGGTCCCTATATGTGTGGTCACTATATGTGTGGTCACTATATGTGTGGTCACTATATGTGTGGTCACTATATGTGGTGGTCACTATATGTGTGGTCACTATATGTGTGGTCACTATATGTGTGGTCACTATATGTGGTGGTCACTATATTTGTGGACACTATATGTGTGGTCACTATATGTGGTGTCACTATATGTGTGGTCACTATATGTGGTGGTCACTATATTTGTGGACACTATATGTGTGGTCACTATATGTGGTGTCACTATATGTGTGGTCACTATATGTGTGGTCACTATATGTGTGGTCACTATATGTGTGGTCACTATATGTGTGGTCACTATATGTGGTGGTCACTATATGTGTGGTCACTATATGTGTGGTCACTATATGTGTGGTCACTATATGTGGTGGTCACTATATGTGTGGTCACTATATGTGGTGGTCACTATATGTGTGGTCACTATATGTGTGGTCACTATATGTGTGGTCACTATATGTGGTGGTCACTATATGTCACTATATGTGTGGTCACTATATGTGTGGTCAGTATATGTGTGGTAACTGTATGTCACTATATGTGTGGTCACTATATGTGTGGTCACTATATGTGTGGTCACTATATGTGTGGTCACTATATGTGTGGTCACTATATGTGGTGGTCACTATATGTGTGGTCACTATATGTGTGGTCACTATATGTGTGGTCACTATATGTGTGGTCACTATATGTGTGGTCACTATATGTGTGGTCACTATATGTGTGGTCACTATATGTGTGGTCACTATATGTGTGGTCACTGTATGTGTGGGTGGTCACTGTATGTGGTGGTCACTATATGTGTGGTCACTATATGTGTGGTCACTATATGTGTGGTCACTATATGTGTGGGTGGTCACTGTATGTGTGGGTGGTCACTGTATGTGTGGTCACTATATGTGCGGTCACTGTATGTGTGGTCACTATATGTGTGGTCACTATATGTGTGGTCACTATATGTGTGGTCACTATATGTGTGGTCACTATATGTGTGGTCACTATATGTGTGGTCACTATATGTGTGGTCACTATATGTGTGGTCACTATATGTGTGGTCACTATATGTGTGGTCACTATATGTGTGGTCACTATATGTGTGGTCACTATATGTGTGGTCACTATATGTGTGGTCACTATATGTGTGGGTGGTCACTGTATGTGTGGGTGGTCACTGTATGTGTGGTCACTATATGTGTGGTCACTATATGTGTGGTCACTATATGTGTGGTCACTATATGTGTGGTCACTATATGTGTGGTCACTATATGTGTGGTCACTATATGTGTGGTCACTATATGTGTGGTCACTATATGTGTGGTCACTATATGTGTGGTCACTATATGTTGAGGTCACTATATGTGTGGTGACTATATGTGTGGTAACTATATGTGTGGTCACTGTATGTCACTATATGTGTGGTCACTATATGTGTGGTCACTATATGTTTACGGTCACTGTATGTCACTATATGTGGTGGTCACTATATGTGTGGTCACTATATGTGTGGTCACTATATGTTGAGGTCACTATATGTGTGGTGACTATATGTGTGGTAACTATATGTGTGGTCACTGTATGTCACTATATGTGTGGTCACTATATGTGTGGTCACTATATGTTTACGGTCACTGTATGTCACTATATGTGGTGGTCACTATATGTGTGGTCACTATATGTGTGGTCACTATATGTGTGGTCACTATATGTGTGGTCACTATATGTTGTGTTGTGGTCACTATATGTGTGGTCACTATATGTGTGGTCACTATATGTGTGGTCACTATATGTGTGGTCACTATATGTGTGGTCACTATATGTGTGGTCACTATATGTTGAGGTCACTATATGTGTGGTCACTATATGTGTGGTCACTATTTGTGTGGTCACTATATGTGTGGTCACTATATGTGTGGTCACTATATGTGTGGTCACTATTTGTGTGGTCACTATATGTGTGGTCACTATATGTGTGGTCACTATATGTGTGGTCACTATATGTGTGGTCACTATATGTGGGGTCACTGTATGTTGTTAACACCATCAAATCACCTGTGTCACCTACCCCCTCTCCCCCACCCCCAGTCTATGTGTTTATCGGCCACCTGAACCCCCTAGTGGACTTCATGATTAACCTGGGTGACCGTGGGCTGCTGGACACTGGGCAGTATGTCGTCATCTATGTGGAACACATCGAGGGCGTCCCCATGGAGAGGGAGAAATATTTTAAACGTGAGTACTGGGGGGGGGGGGGAGTCAGTGGGTGGGTGGGGTAGGTGCTTTATGGGTGGGTGGGGTAGGTGCTTTATGGGTGGGTGGGGTAGGCGCTTTATGGGTGGGTGGGGTAGGTGCTTTATGGGTGGGTGGGGTAGGTGCTTTATGGGTGGGTGGGGTAGGTGCTTTATGGGTGGGTGGGGTAAATGCTTTATGGGTGGGTGGGGTAAATGCTTTATGGGTGGGTGGGGTAAATGCTTTATGGGTGGGGTAGGTGCTTTATGGGTGGGTGGGGTAAATGTTTTATGGGTGGGGTAGGTGCTTTATGGGTGGGTGGGGTAAATGTTTTATGGGTGGGTGGGGTAAATGCTTTATGGGTGGGGTAGGTGCTTTATGGGTGGGTGGGGTAGGTGCTTTATGGGTGGGTGGGGTATGTGCTTTATGGGTGGGTGGGGTAAATGTTTTATGGGTGGGTGGGGTAAATGCTTTATGGGTGGGGTAGGTGCTCTATGGGTGGGTGGGGTAAATGTTTTATGGGTGGGTGGGGTAAATGCTTTATGGGTGGGTTAGGTGCTCTGTGTGTGTGTGTGTGTGTGTGTGTGGGTTAGGTGCGCTATCGGTGAACGGAAAAAAAGTCACAGGAAAAAAAACCACAGAAAAAATGTCAGTTTTAACTAGGAAATAAACCGGGAGTGATCTCCCCTAAACTTTCTCGAATATTCTTATATAAAACAACAGGGGATGGTAACTGGGGATATAGTTATGATTTTTAATCCATTTTAAATACTTAAACTTTTAAAAATAGAATAGAATCTCATAAAAAAAACATTGCGCACCAAGCAAACGCCGAATAAAAACGCGTATAATAGTGCGCAATATTATTAGTACTTTAAAAATTTACATTAGTTTTTTGAGAAATCGGAAGTAGCGTAAATTACTCCTTCCAGTCAACGGAAATTACTCAAAATTTAACAGAAGGTAGAGAATTAGATCTTTTACTTACATGTGAAATTTCATTTATCTATCTGAAATAGTACTCAAGTTATAGGCTTTTGAAAAATTCAAAGTAGGAAAAGTACCACTTCCGGTTATCGGAAATCGCTCAAAAGTTGATACGGATCTACGATTTTGATAAAATACTTATATATGAAATTTCATCAACCTAGCTGTAACGGTACTCAAGTTATCGTGTTTACACACGGACAGACAGACAGACAGACAGACACACACACACACAGACATACGGACAAGATTGCAAAATTATGTTTTTCCGTATCAGTGAGGTGTAAAACGTCGAGATTTGTAAAAATCTCGATTTTTTTTTTTTGCACGATTACAATACTTTCTCTATACTACGTATATACGAGAAAGTAAAAAAGTCACAGAAAAAAGTCACAATAGAAATATTTTATCGGAAATAAAGTCACAGAAATAAAGTCACAGAAAAAAGTCACAAAAATCTTTTCAGAAATATTTTGATTTATTTGTTGCAATTGTAGTTATTTTTTTTTTATTGTTGTGGGTTATATTTTTGATAGCATATATTATTTATAAACGTTAAACGCATAATGGTTTATAACAATTAAAAGTAAAATACTCTAAGATAATTTACACAACAACCTCAACTTCTGTTCCGTATTTAGTTAAATACGCGACTGAAAAGCTAATTATATAAGAAATTTAGGCACATCATTGTGTTTTGCATATGTTTTGCCGTAGGCTGTTCTCTAGTCGGCCTTCCCTCAGAAGGCATTGTCGGAACATATTTTGTGTTGTGGACGTTTTGTGTCAATGACAGCCTTTGAACCGTGTCGGCTTTCTGTTTTGATCCTCAGTTTTGTTATGTAATGAGCGTGATCAATGTGGGCAGTAAAGATGGTTGAACTAAACATAACTATCGTTGCGATGAGGTGAGGGCAGCAAGTAAGCTGAACTTACCATTTCACGGTAATTTAATATTGGTATTTAAAAAAAACACGATGAAAACTGAGGACGGTGGAACATTCTATTAAATGCTATTAATATTATGTTTTACATAATTACAATCTACATACTTTAAACTAAATATTTTTAGACGAATTATAAATATTACCATGCGTATACAACCTACACACATAACATTACATTTAATTAATCCTAAGTTAATTTTGCTCTCTCTGAATATATAATTCATAAAAGTATTAACAAATATCATGCAAATATATATTTGTGACTTTTTTTTCCTGTGACTTTTTTTCCTGTGACTTTTTTTCCTGTGACTTTTTTTCCTGTGACTTTTTTTCTGTGTTTTTTTTTTCCTGTGTTTTTTTCCTGTGACTTTTTTTCCTACAATCGCGCTATCGGCTGTTGGGGTTATGGTTAGGTGTTGTGTTGGGCTTTGTGCGGTAAGCTTGGGTTGAATGCAAACGCTTTAATATTTAAGTGCTGAGCACCTAATGCGTATTGGCCTTTTGTATGGTCTGGCCATGCAATAAAAACCAGACCAGATTAAATTAAGAAAATAACTGCTCCCCGTTCACCCCCTACCCAGGGCTCCCCGTGCCTCCATACATTGTTTAATTGTAATCCCTTCTCTGACAAAAAAAAATGGCGGTTACAAATGTTTAAAGAGTCTCACAGGACAGTCATGAAACTACAGGAAATAGAAGTGGGGGATTAAAGTCTAGATTCATGGGGTGATTCATTAGCCACATGTGGCGTGTGCTAGCGAGTGGTGTGGGGGTGATGTGTGGGAGGATGTGTGGTGTGGTGTGTAGATGAGGTATGAAGAGTAGAGTGGGGGACGAAGGATTAAAATATCCTTTAACGTTATCCTACCTGTGGTTGGGTGTCCTAACATATTTTATATCAAGAGCAGACTGATCCAGACCTTTAGCCGTTGGTCTCATTTAGCTCCAGCTAGAAATACGAGACTGAAATTGGTGCTTCAGGCTAGTTCAACTCTAACAAAATATAAAGCAAATACTTGATACTGAGATAAGCGAAGAGATACATTAAAAAAATTCGGATGATAAAACTAATCGCCAAAATAAGTATCGAATGACCTGAGGTGGGCTAAGTCGACTATTCACCAAGTATCGAACGATTAAAAGTGGGCTAACCCGACTACTCACCACCAATGATCGAACGACTAGGGGTGGACCAACTCGACTACTCACAAAGTATCGAACGACTAGGGGTGGACCTACACGACTACTCGCCAAAATCCACCATGTGAGGTACCATCTTATTGACACAACTGTGAACCCGAGCCACAAATCTTTGCCAACACATTAATAAATCACTGCTAATTAGCGTGACAAGGGAGATGACCTTTCTTGTCTTAATTACCGCCCTTGGGGTCTCCTCTGTGCTGAATGGCAATTATCTCTGACGGCCAGTTTCTAAATGATCGTAGCTCAGGGCAGCCCTGTCTGAGCTCATCTTTAGCTCAGGGCAGCTCGGGACGTCTTTGGTAACAAAACGTCACGAGTTTTACAACATCCTCAGCGCAGGGGCATCACTCACAACATACAACAACAACATACAACAACAACATACAACAACAACATACAACAACAACAACATACAACAACAACATACAACAACAACATACAACAACAACATACAACAACAACATACAACAACAACATACAACAACAACATACAACAACAACATACAACAACATACAATAACAACATACAACAACAACATTCAACTACAACATACAACAGCATATAACAAAAACATTCAACAACAACATGCAACAACAACATGCAAGAACAACATGCCACAACAACACGCAACAACAACATGCAACGCAACAACAACATACAACATGCACCACTAAACAACGGCGAGTCTTCATATTCTCTCTCTAAAGAATTAACTGAACTCATGGCAAGTAAAATCCATTCTATGGCCTCGATGTAAATTTTTTAGAAGGCTAAAAAATGTTTTAATTACTGCCAAACAATCTGCAATCTGATACTACTGTTTGCATCAACAAGTTTACATCTAATATATAATCTAATACAATTCGCTGAATGTGGTTGAACAAACATTCTCTCGTACACTGCGTGTGTAACTGATATTTTTAATTGTAATCTTATACCATCCGATGTGGTGGTAAAGTTTTAAAAACTGACCAATCGATGTTTAAAATGGTGCTCACTCACTAGTAGCAGGAAAATTCTTGGTCACTGTTTTTGGTGACTTTTGTTTTGGCCACTCAGATTTTGGCTGTTTCATATTTGTCAAATTTAGTTAGGGTCCGGTTAAAGGTTAGGCCTCTAAGATATCCCGAGGGTCACTTTGGTTCTGGCTCCCACGTTTTTAGTCCACTTAGGTTTCTGTCATTAAAGATTTGGCAACACAAGGTCAGTTATTGTTTGGCCACAATAGGCCAGTTATAATTTGGCCACAAAACACTAGTTAAAATTTGGCCACTTCAGTTCTGGTCGTAGAGGTTGAGTACCGTGTCCAGTAAACATAGTGTGTAGAGATGATAAACAAAACAACACACTTTTGAAATATGGGAGCAACTCAATGGGTGGGGTGGTTGTAATGCCCGTTAGTACACGGGGTGCTGCTGTCACATCCCTCACATCAAATCTACAGGAACGTTCGAGAAGAAGCCAGGGGCGACACCCAACATCCGGGGCGCCCGCTCCCTCCTGGTGATCAAACCCAGCACCAACACCAACAACAAGACGGAGCAGTTCCAGGACAAGGTGCGATCATACAGTCATAACAGTGGCACCTGGCGGCAACAGGTGAGTGTCTGATGGATGGATGGAGGCAACAGGTGAGTGTCTGATGGATGGAGGCAACAGGTGAGTGTCTGATGGATGGAGGCAACAGGTGAGTGTCTGATGGATGGAGGCAACAGGTGAGTGTCTGATGGATGGAGACAACAGGTGAGTGTCTGATGGATGGATGGAGGCAACAGGTGAGTGTCTGATGGATGGAGGCAACAGGTGAGTGTCTGATGGATGGAGGCAACAGGTGAGTGTCTGATGGATGGAGGCAACAGGTGAGTGTCTGATGGATGGAGGCAACAGGTGAGTGTCTGATGGATGGAGGCAACAGGTGAGTGTCTGATGGATGGATGGAGGCAACAGGTGAGTGTCTGATGGATGGATGGAGGCAACAGGTGAGTGTCTGATGGATGGAGGCAACAGGTGAGTGTCTGATGGATGGAGGCAACAGGTGAGTGTCTGATGGATGGAGGCAACAGGTGAGTGTCTGATGGATGGAGGCAACAGGTGAGTGTCTGATGGATGGATGGAGGCAACAGGTGAGTGTCTGATGGATGGAGGCAACAGGTGAGTGTCTGATGGATGGATGGAGGCAACAGGTGAGTGTCTGATGGATGGATGGAGGCAACAGGTGAGTGTCTGATGGATGGAGGCAACAGGTGAGTGTCTGATGGATGGAGGCAACAGGTGAGTGTCTGATGGATGGAGGCAACAGGTGAGTGTCTGATGGATGGATGGAGGCAACAGGTGAGTGTCTGATGGATGGATGGAGGCAACAGGTGAGTGTCTGATGGATGGAGGCTACAGGTGAGTGTCTGATGGATGGAGGGAGGCAACAGGTGAGTGATGGATGGATGGATGGAGGCAACAGGTGAGTGACTGATGGATGGAGGCAACAGGTGAGTGTCTGATGGATGGAGGCAACAGGTGAGTGTCTGATGGATGGATGGAGGCAACAGGTGAGTGTCTGATGGATGGAGGCAACAGGTGAGTGTCTGATGGATGGAGGCAACAGGTGAGTGTCTGATGGATGGATGGAGGCTACAGGTGAGTGATGGATGGATGGATGAAGGCAACAGGTGAGTGTCTGATGGATGGATGGAGGCAACAGGTGAGTGTCTGATGGATGGAGGCAACAGGTGAGTGTCTGATGGATGGAGGCAACAGGTGAGTGTCTGATGGATGGAGGCTACAGGTGAGTGTCTGATGGATGGATGGAGGCAATAGGTGAGTGTCTGATGGATGGATGGAGGCAACAGGTGAGTGTCTGATGGATGGATGGAGGCAACAGGTGAGTGTCTGATGGATGGATGGGGGCAACAGGTGAGTGTCTGATGGATGGATGGAGGCAACAGGTGAGTGTCTGATGGATGGAGGCAACAGGTGAGTGTCTGATGGATGGAGGCAACAGGTGAGTGTCTGATGGATGGAGGCAACAGGTGAGTGTCTGATGGATGGAGGCAACAGGTGAGTGTCTGATGGATGGATGGAGGCAACAGGTGAGTGTCTGATGGATGGAGGCAACAGGTGAGTGTCTGATGGATGGAGGCAACACGTGAGTGTCTGATGGATGGATGGAGGCAACAGGTGAGTGTCTGATGGATGGATGGAGACAACAGGTGAGTGTCTGATGGATAGATGGAGGCAACAGGTGAGTGTCTGATGGATGGAGGCAACAGGTGAGTGTCTGATGGATGGAGGCAACAGGTGAGTGTCTGATGGATGGAGGCAACAGGTGAGTGTCTGATGGCTGGAGGCAACAGGTGAGTGTCTGATGGATGGAGGCAACAGGTGAGTGTCTGATGGATGGAGGCAACAGGTGAGTGTCTGATGGATGGAGGCAACAAGTGAGTGTCTGATGGATGGATGGAGGCTACAGGTGAGTGTCTGATGGATGGAGGCAACAGGTGAGTGTCTGATGGATGGAGGCAACAGGTGAGTGTCTGATGGATGGATGGAGGCAACAGGTGAGTGTCTGATGGATGGAGGCAACAGGTGAGTGTCTGATGTATGGATGGAGGCAACAGGTGAGTGTCTGATGGATGGAGGCAACAGGTGAGTGTCTGATGGATGGAGGCAACAGGTGAGTGTCTGATGGATGGAGGCAACAGGTGAGTGATAGATGGATGGATGGAGGCTACAGGTGAGTGTCTGATTGATGGATGGAGGCTACAGGTGAGTGTCTGATGGATGGAGGCAACAGGTGAGTGTCTGATGGATGGATGGAGGCAACAGGTGAGTGGGCCTTTTGTTCCTCTATTGACGACGACAAATGTCATTCGTGCTTGTTGTTTTATGACTAGCAGTTTTTCTCAGTCGACCCTAATCCTGGGACGGTGGGAGACAACCCACATGAACTAATTTAACTGAGTGCATTAATAAAGGATTGATATTTGAATGGCTGAGTCATGTGGGACTGCTCGCGTTGTTCTACTGTTCAGCGACTTCTGTATTCGTTGGATCCGCTACACAAATATTATTTTAACATTTTAAATTGAATAGGAGCAACAGACATTGCACAGAAAGACGGAATATTTAGCTTAAACACTCAGATACGTTGAGTATATATGAACACTAGAAGCTATTTTGGTATGGTGTAGATAGGCATATAAAGTGTTTCTTTCAGACTTTTTTTCTCCGGGGAGGGGGGGGACTTGAAATTTTCTATATAAATTTCATTTCGTTCTGGGGGCGATAGACTTTCTTTGGGGGGGGGGGGGGGGTTTGGGGGGGGGGGGGCTCGGAAAGAGATGCCTGGAAGAAACTCTGGGCATATAGCGTGTTAAACATTGTATGTTTCATATTCAACTCCTATCTTATTACACCAATTATATTCTACCAATATTAAACCAAGTCTTCCAATATTTCTTCCACTCGCCGTCAACTTCCGGGTACCCTTTCAGTGACGTCATGAACACCACTTCCGGTTGGCTGCTGACGTAACCTGTTCACTTGACGAAAAAAATGTCGGTCTGTCTTCTCATTTCCCATCCATTCAACTTGAACACGATCAGGCGATCTTGAAAAAGTTAATTTATTTTTCCCGACTATTGGGAAAATAACAGTTGTTGGATTCAGTGCCCTATCCACGGATATGTTGATAGTGTATCCACGGATAGGTTGATAGTGTATCCACTTATAGGCTAATAGTGTATTCACAGATAGGTTGATAGTGTATCCACGGATACTTTGACTACAAGACCATTTTTATCAAGGGCAGCTCATGGACGCAAGAAACCTTCTGTGTTATGTCCAGACGAACCAACCAACAAACGAACGGGGGATGGGGTGGGGGAGGTATTGGGGGTGGGGGATATATGTTTGAGGTTACACATCCGCAAAGTCAATTGGTAAAACGTCACCGGAATTCAACCTAAAAATAAACTCAACTCACGTGCACATTTAGGAGTAGGTGCTTACGTGATCACTTCTCTAGGTCTCTGGTTTTAACGTGATCTTCCAATGTGAACTGTGGGTCACAGGGTGTCTCCCAACATGACCTCCACCAACGTGATCTCTCCCAACGTGACCTCGCCCAACGTGATCTCTCCCAACGTGACCTCCCCCAACGTGATCTCTCCCAACGTGATCTCTCCCAACGTGACCTCCCCCAACGTGATCTCTCCCAACGTGATCTCTCCCAACGTGATCTCTCCCAACGTGATCTCTCCCAACGTGATCTCTCCCAACGTGATCTCTCCCAACGTGATCTCTCCCAACGTGATCTCTCCCAACGTGATCTCTCCCAACGTGACCTCCCCCAACGTGATCTCTTCCCCAGGTGTCCGAGTATGCCACCAACCTGTACGATGCTGTCATGCTGTATGCTGTCGGGCTGTCTGAAGTTCTGGCAGAGGGCGGCAGTTTTCTCGATGGGAGGGCCATCATAAGTAAAATCTTTGGGAAAACCTACACTAGTAAGTGCTGCTGGTGGTGGAGTTGGTGGTGGGGTTGGTGGAGGTGGGGTGTAGATGGTGGGTGGAGGTGTTTGTGGAGTGTTAGTATAGTCGTGGTGCAGTTGGTGGAGTGTTGGTGGAGTGTTGGTGGAGTGTTGGTATAGTCGTGGTGCAGTTGTTAGTATGGTGTTGGTGTAGTTACTTGCGGTGATGTTGGTGATGGTGTTGACGTGGTTGCTAGTGGAGGTTTTGGTGGAGCTCATTAAGCGACTTCATCTACTTGTTGAGCTACAACTCGTGTTTCCCCACCCCTCCCTGCCCACTCCCCACCCCTCCCTGCCCACTCCCCACCCCCTCACTGCCCACTCCCCACCCCCTCACTGCCCACTCCCCACCCCTCCCTGCCCACTCCCCACCCCTCACTGCCCACTCCCCACCCCTCACTGCCCACTCCCCACCACTCCCTGCCCACTCCCCACCCCTCACTGCCCACTCCCCACCCCCTCCCTGCCCACTCCCCACCCCCTCACTGCCCACTCCCCACCCCCTCCCTGCCCACTCCCCACCCCCTCACTGCCCACTCCCCACCCCCTCCCTGCCCACTCCCCACCCCCTCACTGCCCACTCCCCACCCCCTCCCTGCCCACTCCCCACCCCCTCACTGCCCACTCCCCACCCCCTCCCTGCCCACTCCCCACCCCCTCCCCACCCACTCCCCACCCCTCACTGCCCACTCCCCACCACTCCCTGCCCACTCCCCACCCCTCACTGCCCACTCCCCACCCCTCACTGCCCACTCCCCACCACTCCCTGCCCACTCCCCACCCCTCACTGCCCACTCCCCACCACTCCCTGCCCACTCCCCACCACTCCCTGCCCACTCCCCACCACTCCCTGCCCACTCCCCACCCCTCACTGCCCACTCCCCACCCCTCCCTGCCCACTCCCCACCCCCTCCCTGCCCACTCCCCACCCCCTCCCTGCCCACTCCCCACCCCCTCCCTGCCCACTCCCCACCCCTCACTGCCCACTCCCCACCACTCCCTGCCCACTCCCCACCCCTCACTGCCCACTCCCCACCCCTCCCTGCCCACTCCCCACCCCCAGGTATCCAGGGCTACAAGAACCGGATAGACAAGAACGGCAACGCTGAGGGGAACTACACGGTACTGGCCTACCAGTTGGAGGAGACGGAGAATGGCACCGTGCCCATCATGGCGCCCGTGGCTGGGTACAGAATGAATGCTGAGGGCGAACTGCCGGTAAGTCACAAGTCGTCTGGGACGTCAGTAGTGTATGATCTCTGGTTAATTTAATGACGTCAGTAAGTCTGATCTCTGGTTAATTTAATGACGTCAAAAATCTGTTGTTAAATAACATTTTAAAAAAAGATTTATTAAAATATTTTAAATACCTTGAATTTCTAAAATTTACTAATTCAACCAAATTGGACAGTAAATGTTAGAGATTATTCTTTATAAAGATGCTACACATAAAGAAGAATCACAGACATTAGACGACAGAATGACATTAAAAGTGTTCAAATGTGTTAAAATATTGACGTGAAAATGTGAGCAAATATTGACGTGAAAATGTGTTCAAATATTGACGTGAAAATGTGAGCAAATATTGACGTGAAAAATGTGAGCAAATATTGACGTGAAAAATGTGGGCAAATATTGACGTGAAAAATGTGAGCAAATATTGACGTGAAAAATGTGAGCAAATATTGACGTGAAAACTGTGAGTAAATATTGACAAAAAAAGTTCCGACGATCCCGGGGACCTCAATTCCCATGCATACAAATATTGATAGAAAACATTGTAAAGGAGTTTAAAAAAAAACGGAAAAGGAAGGTTTTCATCTGTAACATCTCTGGCCTGCATCCACTCCTGTAGCGCGTGAAACAGATACCTCGATGATAGCTCGCTTGTACAGCAGTAAAAACTAGAATTTGTCCAATCGATATTTGTCTGTGGAGGCGTTTAGAGATATGTGAATGGCGCTTTAATGTGACTTTAGTTTGGGAAATTGTTTGGTAAATAATGTTTGGTGGGGCACATCTTTCTAAGTGGTATAGACCAGGGGTCGGCAACTTTTGAAGTGGAAGAGCCAAAAGTTACAATTTTCAAAATTTCCCTGGTTTTAAAGAGCCACTAACATTTTTTTAATTTCAAATATTTTATTTTTTTAATTAAGATTTTGTAGTATTTGTTTAAGGAGCTGGAGAGCCGCATCTTGATATCAAAAGAGCCGCATGCGGCTCGCGAGCCGCAGGTTGCCGACCCCTGGTATAGACCTCTCGATGTCTAGTCTAGTGGGGGCAGATCTTTCAAAATCTAGTGGGGCAGATCTTTCAATGTCTAGTAGGGCAGATCTTCCAATGTCTAGTCAAGTGGGGCAGATCTTTCAATGTCTAGTGGGGCAGATCTTTCAATGTCTAGTGGGGCAGATCTTTCAATGTCTAGTAGGGCAGATCTTCCAATGTCTAGTCAAGTGGGGCAGATCTTTCAATGTCTAGTGGGGCAGATCTTTCAATGTCTAGTAGGGCAGATCTTTCAATGTCTAGTCAAGTGGGGCAGATCTTTCAATGTCTAATGGGGCAGATCTTTCAATGTCTAGTGGGGCAGATCTTTCAATGTCTAGTCAAGTGGGGCAGATCTTTCAATGTCTAGTCTAGTGGGGCCGATCTTTCAATGTCTAGTCAAGTGGGGCAGATCTTTCAATGTCTAGTCAAGTGGGGCAGATCTTTCAATGTCTAGTCTAGTGGGGCAGATCTTTCAATGTCTAGTGGGGCAGATCTTTCAATGTCTAGTGGGGCAGATCTTTCAATGTCTAGTGGGGCAGATCTTTCAATGTCTAGTCTAGTGGGGCAGATCTTTCAATGTCTAGTCTAGTGGGGCAGATCTTTCAATGTCTAATGGGGCAGATCTTTCAATGTCTAGTCAAGTGGGGCAGATCTTTCAATGTTTAATGGGGCAGATCTTTCAATGTCTAATGGGGCAGATCTTTCAATGTATAGTCAAGTGGGGCAGATCTTTCAATGTCTAAAGTGGGGCAGATCTTTCTAGTGTAATGGGGCAGATCTTTCAATTTCTAGTCAAGTGGGGCAGATCTTTTTAGTGTAATGGGGCAGATCTTTCAATGTCTAGTCTAGTGGGGCAGATCTTTGAATGTATATTAGGGCAGATCTTTTAATGTATATTAGTGGGGCAGATCTTTCAATGTCTAGTCTAGTGAGGCAGATCTTCCAATGTTTAGTGGGGCAGATCTTTCAATGTCTAGTGGGGCAGATCTTTCAATGCCTAGTGGGGCAGATATTTCAATGTCTAGTGGGGCAGATCTTTCAATGTCTAGTCTAGTGAGGCAGATCTTCCAATGTTTAGTGGGGCAGATCTTCCAATGTTTAGTGGGGTAGATCTTTCAATGTCTAGTGGGGCAGATCTTCCAATGTTTAGTGAGGCAGATCTTTCAATGTCTAGTCTAGTGGGGCAGATCTTTCAATGTCTAGTCTAGTGAGGCAGATCTTCCAATGTTTAGTGGGGTATATCTTTCAATGTCTAGTGGGGCAGATCTTCCAATGCTTAGTGGGGTAGATCTTTCAATGTCTAGTGGGGCAGATCTTTCAATGTCTAGTCTAGTGGGGCAGATCTTTGAATGTATATTAGGGCAGATCTTTTAATGTATATTAGTGGGGCAGATCTTTCAATATCTAGTCTAGTGAGGCAGATCTTCCAATGTTTAGTGGGGCAGATCTTTCAATGTCTAGTGGGGCAGATCTTTCAATGCCTAGTGGGGCAGATATTTCAATGTCTAGTGGGGCAGATCTTTCAATGTCTAGTCTAGTGAGGCAGATCTTCCAATGTTTAGTGGGGCAGATCTTCCAATGTTTAGTGGGGTAGATCTTTCAATGTCTAGTGGGGCAGATCTTCCAATGTTTAGTGAGGCAGATCTTTCAATGTCTAGTCTAGTGGGGCAGATCTTTCAATGTCTAGTCTAGTGAGGCAGATCTTCCAATGTTTAGTGGGGTATATCTTTCAATGTCTAGTGGGGCAGATCTTCCAATGCTTAGTGGGGTAGATCTTTCAATGTCTAGTGGGGCAGATCTTTCAATGTCTAGTCTAGTGAGGCAGATCTTTCAATGTCTAGTGGGGCAGATCTTTCAATGTCTAGTCTAGTGAGGCAGATCTTTCAATGTCTAGTGGGGCAGATCTTCCAATGTTTAGTGAGGCAGATCTTTCAATGTCTAGTCTAGTGGGGCTGATCTTTCAAAGTCTAGTCTAGTGAGGCAGATCTTCCAATGTTTAGTGGGGTATATCTTTCAATGTCTAGTGGGGCAGATCTTCCAATGTTTAGTCTAGTGAGGCTGTTGTGTGGCCTGTGGCTATTATTAGGCAGTGTAGAAATCTGTGATAGTGTTTTTTCCTACACTCTGTAAGTTGGGTTTTGATATTTTATACATTAAATATTTTATCTAGTTTAACCTTGTGTTCTGCCACAACTGTGTTCGCTTATTAAAGGTTGTATGCAGATTGGATGAGTGTTAATTACAATAGTATCACTAGTTTTCCCTAGACATCGAATTCGAGCCCTAGTGTGTCGTTGTGTTAGTGTTCATCCATTTAGGCCGTGAGGCATTTGCATATAACCCCGAAAAAAGAATCCGGGGACGTTCACCTTCTATCTGGCTGATAGATAGGGGACGTTACAAAGTGGGGGCTCGCCGAGATTTAATCTGTCGTTCCAGTTGTTGGTTATATCAGTTAAGCACTAAGTTTAGTTTGATTTAGTTGTTTTTCTATCCAGTGTAGCGCAGTGTTCTTGAAACGCGCGCAGGCTAGAATTATCTAGGTCAACAGCCAGACGTGTCACGATAAGAGGTCAAGTACACGGCCCAACGCACCGTGTTAAGTTAGTGAATCTAGGCTTGTTTTGATTTTGAAAGTTAGAGTTATGGAATCTTTTTTGGCTAATCCCACTGTTGAGGATGTAGAAAAGTTGAGTAGAAAAGTTTTGGTTAGTGTTGTTAAGGAATTGAAATTGGATTATTCTGTTACGCAGAAGTCAGATGTGTTGAGAGATAAAATTGTTGTTCATTTTATTAATGAAGGTGTATTTGATGAAAGTTTGTTGGCGGATGTGTTACTCCGCGAGGAGAAAACTCTAGAGAAGGTAGAATTAGAAGCTAGAATTGCTTTAGAGAAGGAGAAAGTTGCTTTAGAGAAGGCTTTAAAAGAAAAGGAGTTTGAAACTAAAAGTGCTTTAGAGAAGGAGAAAGTTGCTTTAGAGAAACAGGAGTTAGAGGCTAAAATTGCTTTAGATAAGAGGAGGTTGGAATTAGAGTTTGGTCAAGTTAGTGATGTCACTTCTCTGGTAGATCCAAAAAAGTTGTCGGTAGGGCAAGTGATTGCCAAATTTGGGAAATTAGTTCCTAAATTTGATGAAACAGATTTGGTCGTTTTCTTTAACTCATTTGAGAGTTTAGCGAAGACATGTGAATGGCCCGAAACTTCCATTACTGCTTTATTGAGCTCGGTCCTTACTGGGAAAGCTGCAAAAACATACCAGGCACTCTCTCACGACGTTCAAAATAACTATAGTTTGGTCAAGACTGCCATTTTGAAGGCCTACGAACTGACGCCCGAGGCCTATCGGACAAAATTCCGAACACTCCGCAAGTTACCCACTCAATCATATGTGGAATTTCTCTTTGAAAAGGAGAAAATATTCTCAAGGTGGCTACACTCTGAAGAAGTTTCTGAGTTTGAGAAACTCAGGTCACTTATCCTAAGGGAAGAATTCCTATCGTCCCTGCCTGAAGAGATACGACTACACATACTGGATAACAAGATAATTGACGTCCAGAAGGCTGCTGAGTCGGCTGACACATATATGTTGGTGCATAAAAAACCACCAGTGTCAGGAAACCGCCTCAACCCCGTGCTTCCCCTTTTTGGCAGCAATCCTCCTGTTGGCCAATACGTGAAGGCATCACAGTCCAGAGAGAAACCAAGATCAACTCTCAATCGTCGAGCAGTTTGCCAGTTCTGCAAAAGACCTGGTCATCATGTCAAGGACTGTTACAAACGTCTTCAATTTAACAGAGAGGTGGTGCGTACTTCTGCGCACTATGCTCTACCCCCTCAAGCTGCCGGTTCAAATATGAACTCTAGAATTCCAAGGGACGCTAACCCTAAGTGTCCGCAAGAAGGTAGTCAAGTCTCCACACATTATGTGCAGTCACATTTTGACTGTTCTCGC